ATGTTTGAATTTGAATTGACTCCGATCTTCATGGGCTTCGCCTTTTGGCCCAAGTCATCCGACTTCGATTCCGAGTCATATCCCGAGGTGTGACCACTCCGGGCTCTCTTTCTGGTGACGCCCACTTCGATTATATCTTGTGATCCATGGGCTTAATGGGCCTTATCCTTTGCGGGCCTTCATCTTGATTACGTGGCAATCTTTGGTTGGTCCCGGTCCACTGGTGCGGGATCCGACACCAACAAAGCCCATTGGGCTGAAGAGCCTAAAAAGAGCATAAAGAGACTAAAGAGTCTAACCACGTCAAAAGAGATAAGTATCATGGCCACAGTCATGGTAAATGGAATGAACGTGGTAGAAGTGGCAATTATAATTTATATGATTAAGGAAACCATTCATATGGTTAAGGCCGCCGACCCGACTTTGGTCGTAATCGAGGTAGAGGCCGCGGTATACCCAAACCACAACACTCAAATAAACTTGTTTGCCACTGATGAGGAATGGGGAAACCATTGGACTAAGACGTGCATGACACCTAAGCATCTCGTTGATCTCTATCAAGAGAGTTTGAAAAGAATCTAGAGACTTTGAATTGATTGATTTATGAGTTATGAGAATTCAATAAACGAAATATCTAAAGACATGGTTCATTAGCCAAATTGCGGGTATAGCTAAATTTAGTGAAGGCTAAGGGCAGGCCCATGGCAGGCCCATATTCCCAAGGGCACGCATCCTCAGATGTTTCATATTCACCCAGCTCAAAGGGGCTTGTTGAGTTTCAAAGAAATGTGTTTGAATGGTTTCCACATTGAAACTAAGGGTGAAGGGAACAAAGGATTCCCATATATTACTAAGAGCACCCAAGACCATGAGAAGGTCTTAGAGACTATACCCGCGTCATAGACCTTTACTATGCCAAGGTCAATATGATAAAGGCTAATACAGTAAACAAAAGGGTTTACTGAGAAATTCACTAATGGCATGACCGGCTTGGCCAGCCTGGTTCTAACATGATGCGTAAAGCTGATATTAAAATCAAAAGGGCACACCCCTTAAGGACCTCACGTGTGTAGCATGTACACAAGCGAAACTCATACTAAGGCCATCACCAGTCAAAGCAACTAGAAACTTGGTGTTTGCTAGATTGCTGGCCCAGACCATAAGTCTGTGAGCCCACATACTTAAGACTATATGTCTAGATAATGCTGGTAAATTATGTCCCAAGCGTTTTTATGGCTACAGTATGTCCATGAGGGGGAGAGTAGTATACCCCGTGGCACATGTCCATACTTGAACTCACAGTAGCTGCTTGGGGACACGCAATATTACATGCAACAAGAGCTTATACGCATCAGGCCATTCTAGTGAGCATAGATATTCACCATCCCAACTACTCACAGGTCAGGAGCCAGATATGTCCCATCTAAAGACATTTGGGTGTGTCACCTATTTACCCATAGCACCACCACAGAGAGCAAATGATGGGACCTCAAAAAGGGATGGGAATATACGTTAAAAATGATTCTCCCACCATCATTAAGTATCTCGAGCCAAAGGCCAGATACAAGGATTGTCATCTCAATGAATCCGTTTTCCCAACACTGGGTGGAGAGACTAACAAGCTGGTCAAAGAACTTACATGGAATCAAACATCCTTCACATGGCAAGATCCTCGGACTCCATCAGAGATCCAAAAGACTATATATCTGCAAAAGCTAGCTAAAACAGTTGCCAAGATTCCTATACTGACCCAAAGAGAGTAACAAAATCGTACATACCAGCTTGTAATGCACCAGTACGTATTGATGTTCACAAGGAACACAATCAAGTTGCTACAGAGGCTACAACACGTAAGAAACGTGGTAGACCCAAAAGGTTCCAAAGACAAGAACCCTCGGAAATCAAATAAAGGTGCAAGGGAAACCGAGAAGGTTCAAGAAACCATAGACATGGCCGGCTACTAGACATAACCCTAAGGTACCAATCAATGAGGTTTGGGACGCCAAACCTCAAGGTCCTGAAGGTGTAAAGAGATCTCTATAAACTATATCATGTCTAGAATACAATGGAACCGAAAAGATGTCGACATCAATGATAATATATTTGCGCACAAGGTAGCAACTGAAATAAATGAGGATCAAGAGCCCACGTCTATACTAGAGTGCACTCAAAGACCTGATTGATTAAAATGGTACAAGACCACAAAACGTGGAGCTAAGAATCAATGTAAAGCCAGTGGGACAAATGAGTCTTTGTGATTATGTGAAATAAACATAGTGAAAGCGTGATATATCAGACACGGCTTGTCGCACAAGGATTCACACAAAGACCAGAAATAGAGGAGATATACTCCCCTGTGGTGGATGCTAACATTTAAATCTTTGCTAAGTCTGGCTATATAAAAGAAAAAGACTTGATTTGCGGCTAATGGATGTAATGCCTGTATATTTATATAAGTCCACTGGATAATATATGAGATTACCAGAGGGTATTGAGCTCAAAGATAAGAAAGATTCTCGAGAACAGCACTGCATAAGGCTGGACAAATCCTTATATGGACTGAAACAAAGCGGACGTATGTGGTATAACCGGTTAAGCGAATATCTCATCAGAGAAGGCTATAAAAATGATCCCATCAGTCCATAAAGAGGTTTACAAACAAAGGATTTGTAATCATAGCAGTGTATATGAATGATTTAAACCTCTGGGTAATCGACCAAACAGTTGAGTATATCTAAAGAAAGAATCTGAAATGAAAGACCTAGGCAATAATTAAGTTCTGTTTGGGATTACAACCTGAGTACGTGAATAATGGAATCCTTGTGCATCAAATGGCATACACTGAAAGAGTACTCAAGGAGATTTAATAAGGACCAGGCCCGCCCATTGACCAGGCCCAATGGTGGTGGAAGCCTCAGATTGGATAGTGATCCATTCAGTCCGGAAATGCCATACCTCAGTGCCATAGGAGTTCTAATGAATTTGGCTAGACACACTAGACCAAATATTTGTTTTGCCGTGAGTCTCCTGTCTAAATTTAGTTCATGATCAACCCAAAGGCACTGGAAAGGTTTAAACGAAGGTTTGATTAAGTTTTAAAGTCTATTCTTCCTGCGTTGTTTACTTGGGTTTATTCTATACTGATCTAACCAAAGAAGGTCCAGTTTGCTTTGGTTTAGTTTGATTTACTAATGCAGGATATTCATAAGATCAGATTATGGCATGGTCAATGAATAGGAACTACGTGTGGCTTGATCCCTTCCAAGGGTACGTAGGCAGCCTTCCTTAAGGCGCAGCTACTACTACATCAAAGACCATCATATTTGAAGACAACGCAGCCTGTATTGCTCAACTCAAGGACGGCTACACTAAGAGAGACCGGACGAAGCACATTTTGCCAAAGTTCTTCTTCACTCATGAATTACAGAAGGACGGTCAAGTCAAAGTTCAACAGATCCGGTCAAGTGAGAATTCAGTCGACCTATTCACCAAATCATTGCCGACTTCAACATTCCGGAAGCTCATTCATCAGATCGGGATGCGCGGACTTAAGGATCTATAGTGATGCTCAAATCAGGGGGAGTAATGCGTGTTGTACTCTTTTTCCTTCACCATGGTTTTGTCCCACTGGGTTTTCCTGGTAAGGTTTTAATGAGGCAACATTCCCCAGCGCATTATAGAGATCCCGGTTTAGTATCGGGCACGGTTATGTCTTCCAAGGGGGAGTGTTATAAACCATATGGATGGACTCCATAACCGGCCCATGGCCCATTAGGGTTTTACCTCATTCTCTGTATCCTGCTATTATCCTTGTATATATATCCCTTATTCTATTAATGAAAGACACAGTTCACAACAGTTTTAGTTTTCTATACGGAAAGTTATCTACTAGTTTCTATATAGTCAATGAGATATTAACATAGAAAAAGAAATCAGTCAAATTATACCACATCACATTTTACTTTGTTTGCTAATGTAATTCAAAATTTTATATTTAAGAATGCACATTTGATATTCAGTTTTCTTAAATATTTTACAAGCAAAAAAAACAGTAAACATAAACTAATCAAAATACCTGGCCCCATCAGGTAACTTATATAAGTAGTTGAATACTAGTGCCTTTAAAAGTAGTACATAGTATAGTTAACATGTCAATTCAGTGAACGTATATGTATTGTAGAATGTAGATAGATTCCATAAAGCCGAATCAAAAAAGTTCAGTTGAGTTTCAAAATGAAGTCATTGAAGGAGAGACTAGGTTTAAAGGACGGTATCCAAACCAACATTCTTAATTGTTTAATTGAAATTGCAAATTCTCTTCAACAAATCATTTTATAACTAACGTTTAAACAAAAAAAAAAAAATTCATTTTATAACCGGCAAAAATTAAAAAAAAAAATGTTATTTATTAAGCGAATGCAAGTTCTTGGAAGCCTCATAAACAAAATAGATGTATTTTCTTATGATATTTTGAAGTTTTTGTTACGAACCTTTATTTTCTCTTCTTTCGAAGTGATTCCGATTCATATCATTCACACTATATATGTATATGAGCTTTAACTAAATTCATACAGTCCAGGAGTAAGCAAAATAGTAGCCTACGATTTTTTTTATTCACTTATTTAATAAAATGTTTTCTGAGTACAACTCTAATTTAATTACAGATATAGGTCAATTGTCTAAAAGTTTCCAATTTAAGAGAAAGTTGGTGTCACACAAAATAAATTTAAAACCTAAAAATTACTTGTTAGATAAAGAAGACCAGAATGGTTTGAAATATTTTTATACAAAGTTATCGCACTTCACATTTTTTAAAATGAAAGTCATCCAGCTTTATCTACTTGAATACAACTACTAGTGCGTTCAAACTTTAAAGTAGCATAAATACATAATAATGTAAATGTCACTTCAGTGAACACATGGTTATAAATTGAGTAGTTGTAAATTGTAGATAGATTCTATAAAGACGAATTAATACAATTTAATTGAGTATTAAAATGAAGTCCTTGAATAGTTGATTGAAGAAGAGAGTTTAAAATCACTAAGTTTTTTGCACTTCTACAAGAACCACTTGGATAGAAAATAACAAACAAGTCAAAGAACCTGAAAGATTACACCCTCTAATAAACCTCGAAATTTTAGTGAGAGATCCTTTTTTTTTTTGGTCAACTATACTTGATCAAATGATAGACCGTCAAAATTTTTTTTTTTTTTTTTTTTTTTTTTTTTTTTTTTGACCGTCAAAATTTAAGATGTACTACTCGAAGTTAGTATTATCTATTACGTAGTCTCGTGAAAATTAGTATGTTTTCTCCTATGTTCCATATAAGTTTGATTTGCTTCGAGCTCATTTTTCTAACTTTCCGCTCTCTAACATCGATTTTTATTGATCTATCATTTGTAAACAAATTTTTTCGTATTAAATAACTAGTCGAAAAGTATTCTTTTAACATCAATATGTGGTTGATAAAAAAAAAAAAACTCAATATACAATTTCTGAAATATTTATAAGGGAACAACATAAATTAAACAAAAGTATCTTGTACCATCAGGTATTTATAACTGGTAGAATACACAATGAAAGTTGGTTTAAAGTAACATACTAACATAGATACACAATGAAAGTTAATATGTCAAATTCAATGAACACATCTATAAATGGGATAGTTGTAGAATGTACTATGTAGATAGATTCTATAAAGGATGAATCAATAAAATTCAGTCGAGTTTCAAAACGAAGTCGTTGAAGAAGAGAGTTTGAACACACACTAAGTTTTGAACTTCTACAACAACCACTTGGGGATAAAAAGAAAGACACAAGTCAAAGAACCCTAAAGATTACATCTAGAATAAGCCCTAACTTTTAGTGAATATCTCTGTTTAGGAAAACAACTAACAATCTGAAAAAAAATACCATTACACTCTAAAAAAATCTGAAGACACCGAAATAAAAAAGTCGCAACAACTCAAGATTATGACTGATCAATGTCAGATTCTTTCCATCGATCATCAGCTTGGAACCTCGGTGTCAGATTCGCTATGGCCTCCGAATTCATCATCATCTTCACCTTCTAAATCCTCCTCATCGTCTTCCTCATCTTCTCCTGGGAGGGGCGAGAAGAGATCCTTGATATGGTTAGCTGTGTTATTTGCATAGTAACCATGGACTGTGTTAGTACTTGGCTCATGCGAAAAGGACACAGGTGGTGCAGACACAGGTGGTGGCTGAATAACAACAGGCTTGTTGAGCCCGTATCTAGCCTTTGGATCTTCTGCTGATCCACCGAATGAGATATTAGAAGCTTGTGTTGTTGTCGGGATCCCGAGTCTTTCCCTTCTTTGCTTCTTTATCTGCTGCTGCTGCTGCGATTCCTCCTGACCCGCTATAAAACTCCCCACCATTACCTGAAAAACATATAACGATTCCGAAACAACAATGCTTAAAACAAGACGAAGATTCAAGCCCATTAAAGAGATCAACACCTCATGTTCTAAGTTATTACCTGAACAGGACCAGCGGCTATAAAGAGACCGGCAAGTCCACCACCAAAGACACGACCATCTGGTCCTGCAAGAGACACACTCATCCCGCCAGCTCTGCTTCGGGTTCCTCCACTCTCGCTTGGTATGAACGAACCCGTCAAAGACAGAATCTCAAAATGACCCTGACCACAAATAGTAAACTAAATTTAGTAAAAAATGAAAAAGGAATCTAAGAGAGAGTGAAGTGAAGAGAGAGAGAGCAAACCTCATAAGTGAGAGTACCACCAGATGTCATAGATTGACGAAGTGTAACATTGGAAATGGGACCGTTAGCTGAAAGAATGCAAATAGCACGCGAGCCTTGTTGAGAGAATGTCATTATCTTCATTGTCACATCCTGTTAGATTCAGTGGGCCAAAAATAGTTAGAAATCTCGGGGACTTAGTCAAGATTAATAACCTTGGTGAATCATAATCATATTAAGGTCGCTAAACTGACTTTATACTCACAAATTATTCAGTAAACCACAAGTAAAGAGAATTATCGAAGACATACCTCACCGGCATTTACTGTGAGCACATGAGGTGTAAAACTTGGACTGACAATCTCTGCAGGTCCTCCACCTGCTAATTAAACATCAAATGAATCAGGAGGATTAACAATTAATAGAAAACGAAATCTGATCAAGAAAAAAAGAGCTATATTAAGATGAACAAATTGCTAAAACCAAAACAGTAAAGAGTTCAAGTTAAATCCTTAAGTAACAACAAGACCAGTGCCTACAAATTCCTCGACGAAACACATCTATATATATATACTCTTAATCACACTGCTTATGTCACTCTCATCACTAATTAGTTCCCCTAAATTGCCTTCTTCTTCTGGGAATTTCCCTTTAAAAATCCAGTTTACTGGACAGTAACATTCACTAGCTTTATAAGACAAAAACATTTGTCCTTATTCCAACTTTTTTGCTAGTCAAATAGATCTATTAAAAGATATCTATTGATTCTTATACAGAGACCAATGTACACACAGAGATATCTTGGATAAAAGACATTACCAGAACTAGGAGTGTTGTTAAATTGGAACATCTGAGGATTCTTGAGCCAATTGTTGTTGTTGTTGTTGTCGCTGTTAGGCTCTCTACTTCCTTGTCCACGTCCTCTTCCTCTTCCTCTGCCTCTTCCTCGCCCTCTTCCTCGTTTCCGAGAACCAAGCTCCGACGTCAACGGAACGGAGGAGGAGATAGGCATCGGAGAGAGAGTCACAGCGAGTGAGCCGTCAGGGTTATACTTTCTCGGTCTTCCTCTCTTCTTCTTCAAGTCAGAAGAAGAATTCTCCACCGGCATTGTTAAGCTAAAAGGAGGAGCAACATTCTCAGAAGCTTTCACGGCGGCGGCGGCGACGGAGGAAGTGCTGGATTGACCCACCGGAAAAAGATTAGGGTTTTCAGACCGTGGTGGTTCCATGTGGTAACCAGGTGGAGGAAGAGGAGCTTCATGTTGTTTCAGACCAAAACTGGTTGTGATGTTGTTGATGTTAGTTCCTTCTCTCTCCTCCATCTGAAAGATTCTGATTCCGACAATTAAGGAAGAAGAAGACCAAAAACAATCTTTTAAGACAGAACTTGAATCTTGATGATCACGACAGATTCAAGCTTCTTCAGACAGACACTTAAAGTATAGACAAGAGAGAGAGAAGAAAGATCCAGAGGACGTAAGATTCAGAGAAAAGGGGAAAGAGATTAAAAAAAAATGAAGGTTTTTTTTTTTGGGTTGAAATTAAGTAAAACTAGTGAAGAGAAAGATCAAAAGCTTCCATGGCGGAATCTTAATTTCAGAAGAATTTCTCCTAAAACATTCATAATTACCAGGGTTTTTTTTTTTTTCTACGAGTGGGTTAAGTTTAGGGAGAATTTTTCTTTACAGATGTGAGAAATTAGGGTTTTGAGGAGAATGGGAAAGAGAAAAAATAAATATTGAAAATATATAAATCAAAGGAGCGGATTTTATTACATTATTAACTTTGATTTTATAAAAAATAGAAAGAAGTTTTTTTTAAAGAAAAAAATCAAAAAAAAGGAGAGAGAAACGAGAAAAGTGTAAATTCTAAAAAATTTGTAATAATGGCTTAATTAGAAAATTCAAAAAATTACACTCCTTTCCTAACAAAGTCTTGGAGTTTGGGATACAGCTAAAGTTTAAGTAATTTAATAAAATAAGTAGGGGCAAATTTTTAATTATATACAGTTGGACTTGATTTTGAGATTTTCCACAGTTTTCAAAATGAAAAATAAAAAGAAAAGGTTTGAGATATTTCTGTCACCTAATATTATCACTTTTTTTTTGGTTTTGTTCAAAAAATAAAATAAAAATATTATCACTCTTTCTTTTCCAGTCTACCCACGTTGACTATAACCAAAACATGTTGACCAGTTTAGCCTCCCAAAGACCAAGTACAAAATCTCTTTGTCCCTAATCCCTGACATTAGGAGTGGTAATGACTCCGTACCAAAATTATCCATTTTGTTCATTCGGATGTCTAATCCCCGCAAAGCAAGCTCAATAGATAGATATAATCGATGAATTTAGAATGGATCAATATATCATGATTGTTGTTTGGGTGATTAAGTATGTTTTTTAAACTAGACACCAAAAAACATACAAATTGCACAAGATAGTTCATTCGTTTTATCACTGCCGAAAGTAAGTTATAGTTGGTCTTTTAGGTCATATGACTAGACATAATATCAATCTAAAAACTTTGATTAGGAAATGTATCTATGACAAATATTCCGTTTAGAGAGCTTTAATTCCATTTTAGGAGCAAATTTTTTTTTAATTTTGCAAACGACATGTTAGATTTTGGTTCTCCCATTTGTGAGCCCATAATCAAGCCACTATTTTACTCCCGTAAAAACCGAATCCCCAACTAGTAATTTTGACTTGAACGTCGAAAAGTTTTTGAGGGATAAATCTATTATAACCTAAAGAATTGTATATTTTCTTAATTTAAAATATTTTTACCTTTTTATAGATATTTTACATTTGACCTCTTCTAATTTTTTTTATTTTTCATATGTCAAATAAGACCCCATAGGTCTGAAATTAATTTATGGATACAAATCGATTGAAGTTGATTATCCTAGTGGTAAAATCATTAGTCGCCCCAAGCTTTTTTGAAGTCTTACATGGAGACGAAAAAGTGGTCACTCCACCAGTAAACTAAGATAGAAAATTGTGAAATATTGATCACAAGTAAATATTTTTTTGAATAAACGAATATAGCCAGAAACAAGTTATGACAAGTCAGGTAATAATATTTTGCGGAAAATTTCGAATAATAATGGGAAATGGTCAAATACAGATTAGGTTGACTAGTTTTCCGCTACACTTCACGGAATGGTTTTTTCTTGTCAGTCTCAGAAGAAACCATACGTGTAAAAATGATTACTTAAAAGAAAAAAAAGCCAATCATATAATTGACCTTTTACAAACCAAACCACATTCAGTTTGAGTTTTACAAATGAAAAAACTTAAGATTGAGACCAAAGGATTAATGATCAAACCAAACCACATTCAGCCTGTAGCATGAAGGCGAGTCTTTGTTCCTCAAACGAGTACTCAACAACTTCAGGCTTTTCAGACATCAATCTTGCATTGTTGGTGAATGGTGTTGGTGCAGTGTGCATTGGGACAGAGACTGTTGCTGGTGTCGATGGGATTGGAATCATTGCAGTAACATTCTTAGGTGTTTGCATCATCATAGTCATCATTTTCTCTTCTTCCAAGTTCCTAATACTGTTGATGTTCTTGACAGGAGTTGCAAATGATGAGATCTCATTCACTGTGTTGTTTTTCGGAAGTTGCTGTTGTGTTGTTGTTGCTATGTTGGCCTTTGATGCAATCACCGTAGTTGAAATGGGCGAGAACGGTTTGCGAACTAATGGGGATTGCAACATTTCAGAAGGATTCATTGATTGTTTCCTTGAGGGAAGTCCTGCAATATCAAGCCCTCTTCTTCCTGCAGGTATAAAATTCATTCCCCAATGCAATTACGAAATCTACTCAATACTATGATGACAACCAATGGTTACATTTGATTAAAAGACATAGTTACCATTAGATAAAGCTCCATCATTCTGTCGGTGATCTGCTTTCTTGTTAGGCTTAGGAGTCTGATGCATTGCTGCTCCTAAAGAGAGTCTTCGGTTAGTAGCACCACCGGTTGACATTCTTGGAGCCTTTTTACCGCCAAGGGGTTTAGATGGGCTCGGTTTGGACCCGTATAGCGCCTCTTGTTCTGCTATGAGCTGTCCTTGAAGCTTCTTCTGATCCTTTAATATGTAGAAAACAGTTGCAGCACATAGAGTTGGATTAGAAGGATGATATTGGTGAAAATTTTCTGATGGAAACATAAAAGAAAGGAGAACTTGTACTTACCCGTTGGCGACGGTGTTCCTCTTCTCTTTCCTGCCTTAGCAAGTTGTACTCCTCAAGCATAGAAAGAAGACGGATCTAGACACAGAAAAAGAAAATTACAAATGGTCAGCTATGACATAATGTGTAATAGTCAACTGAAAACAATAGCGATTTTGTAGAGAATTCAATCAATTCATACACCATCATAGAGAAATTCAATCCCCTTTTCTTGTTCCCAAACTATAGTCTTCGAGGCCAGTGCTTCAACCATTCCTGAATGAATGAACATGAAAAAATACTACCTTCATAATCTATTCAGAGCTTAAACATTACTTATACATTCATAACAAAGAGTAACTTACCTGGAAGCTTGTTAACAAGATTGCGAGCTTTCTCAGCACGCTTGAGAGTAAGATGAGCTCCTCTCCCAGCATTGTATCGGTTATCGTCCTGTAGAGTGAAAAATATCAGAATATGTATCAAGCTTTTATAAATTTAGAAAGGTTTTTGTGATTCCGACTCTAACCCTGTTGTATTCTTCAAGCCAACTTTCTTCATCGCAGGCAGATAACCATTTCTCAACCCTTTCAAGTATCTCTTTTCGGCTTAAAGCTTCCTCTTTGATCTTAGATATATGTTGCTCAAGATGCTCCAGGACCATTGTAGCATCCACAATACCAGATTCTATCGCTGCTATAGTTTGATCTATAGCACTGTCTGACACTGGCAACAAGTGGGTTTTCCTACATATGTCCTCTAGTTCTGACCTTTTCTTCAAAACAAGTTCTTTCATTTTGCTTGCTTTTACCTCATCCAATCGGACAACTTCTGCTTCAACCTGTATATAGCAAAGGAAGTCATGTTATGGACCCATAAGTTATAAGCATGGTCATAGTGTTATAGAACAGGGTAACCATGAAAAAATCTCCACAGCTTACGTATTTAATGAAGTCTTCAGAGAGACTATTGGCTTCAGTTATTTCTTGTTCTGATGCAGCTATATTGCAGGTAATATGCTGATACTCTTGCTGCTCTTCTATGGGTGTATCCATCAAATTCCAGAGCTCCAACATGGTTGTTGCTAGATCTTGAAGCTTCATCAAATTCAATAAGAAACTATGAGCCAACAACAGCAAAGAAAATTCTACATAACTCAGCCAAAGTAATTCATCATTTTACCCGTTGCATTCTCTGTATCTTGACCTCCCTCAGCTTCTGAACTGCAGCCCCCAATTTCTCTATCGTATGATCACTCAAGCTTCTTGGTCCTTCTGGATCACTTAATGTGGGGTTCACTTGGCCAACAACCTCATTAAAATCCATTCCAAGTACTGAACAATGGGAATACAAAGTACACAGGTGCTTCCTAATCGTCTCCACACGATCAATCTGAGGGAAACAACACCACAAAAGGAGTAAATACAATATAATGGTTGGAATAACCAAACAAAAACAAAGAAGCCAAATATGCAAGTTGAAATCAAATCTCACCTTTTCCTTTTGAAGTGCTTGCAGCTGGCAGTGTAAGTCTTCAAGCTTTCTCATAGACAAGTCAGTCTCATCGATAAGTGGTTTGGAATGAACAAGTTCTCCTTGACCTTTAATATCATTAGTAATACTATCTATTTCCTCCAAGACAACAATGAACTGGTTTCTTCTTTCAATTTTCCTCTTTTGCATCTCTTCCAGTTCAGGAAGAATCCTCCCAAGCTCTTGCTTCAAGCTCCCAACGCTTTGATCAGTCTAACACATACAAAAGAAGATTTAAAGTCGAAAAATGCATAAACATAGACTAAGTAAGTCCTTATCAAATCACTCACCTGTCTAATATGCACAGGACGCTCTCCCATAGCAGAACAAATGGCAGCTAATTCTGCTTCAGCATCAGCTATCGCTTGTCGTAATTGAGCTCTACATCGATTAGCTTGATCAACTTTTCTTCTATAAACTTCCAAACATTCACGTTCAAGCTCAAGCAACATCTTATCTCTATCAGTTTCAGTTTCTCCAACTTCATCCCAAATAATCTAATTTTTACAAAAACAAACAAGATCTTATAAACAAACACTTCACACAAAAACTTGAAAGAAACAGTAGTATCATATTCAAAAGAGTCTTAAATCTCCAAAAAACCTGGAGTTCGTATAAGAGAGATCCACAAGTTGTCTCTACTTGAAGAATCGGATCTTTTTGAATACTAGCCATTTCGAAATGCTTTAACCTGTAACAGCGACGAAACCCTAACCATGTCATTCTCGAAAATTAGCAGCTAATTCGAAGCAATTGATTGAAAACCTAACTATGTATAATTCGATTTTGACATTGCGAAGCAACAAATTGAGAGAAAACTCAAAATACTTGCCTGAAACGGGAGATTTCTCGGAGATTTTCCAGAACTGATGATGATGATTTTGAAGTTTGATTGAATCTGTCACTGAAACTTCGTGAGTTAGATTGAAGAAGATAAAACTCTTCGATAGAGAATCCAAGTTTAGAAACCTAGATCGAGAAGTTTGTGTGTGTAGAGAGAAGAGAGAAGAGAGAAAAAGAGCCGTTACGAAGAAGTAAAGGTTTTGGGTTGAGAGAGAGATGATGATGACGATGAGATTGGGAATTTCGTCCGTTACCCGAACCAGCTCTTCTAATTTTGTATATTTGGGCTTTTACTTTTTCGAACTTTTGAATTTCAAAAAATCTGATTTAGGGGTTTAGAATCCAGTGCATCGCGTTTTGTGTAGGCGAATTAGATAGTAACCGTTGAGATATTCTTATTCCCTATGAACGGTTGAGATCTCACAAATGAAAATCTAGCATAAATTGTGTTTGGTGTTTGTTAGCCGATCTTTGGTCTGAGAAAAACCGGTCTGATTTCAATTATTTCGGTCTAATATTCATACCACGCCTAACCAAACTAAATTTCTCCATTTTCTCTGAATATCAGTGTAGTCAATCCAACAGAGATCGGATTTACTAAAATACCAAGGTTTTTTAATTAAATTGTTCCTTATAAATCCAAATAAATTTGGTTTTTTATAGGAACTCCAATTAACTTTGTTTTTGGTTTAGGTGTGGTATGATTATATATATTGAACCAAAATAATCGGACTAGACGAGAAATTACATGCATATATATAGCGTTTTTGCGAGTACTATAATTTGAAACATACTTCTTAATTACACAATTCATAACTCGATGATGTCCCTAACTAGTAACTTCTTACACTTTACACACACAAAATATCAAGTCGAAACATTTAAAGATTAAATTCTCATAATCATATGACTTTAATAATTGCAAAAAACATCTGTGTATAGAATGAAGATGTTGACATGGCTCATCATTCTTTTCAAATAATTAGCTACCTCTAGTTTTGACTAAGTGTTAGTAGAACGCTATATATTGCATAATATATTGTCCATGTTTATATATACTACAGTAAAAAGTGAATATTGTTACGATTATTATTGTCACAATATATAAATATTCGGTCACAATAATTCTATTGTGACGAAACTGACACGAATTCTAAAATGTCACAATAAAATCGTCACAAATCCACGTATGTCTCAAAAAAGTCACAACTATATGTGACGATTAAAAACGGTAACAATTCGTCACTAATTGTGACGACATTCATATAGTCACAGAAAAGACACAATTCGTGACGGACGACTGTCACAAATATGCCACAAATTGTGACAACAAAATCGTTACATATTTGTCACATATTGTTACCATATTTAAGTCACAGATCCGTTACACTTTGCGACCAACATATTGTCACAAATCCCGATACAATTAGTGACTTGATTTCATTATAGTCACCAAATGGTCACAATTTGATTTTTCATTTCTGACTTTTTTTCCTACTGAACTTGTATCAAATTGTTACAAAACTAGGAATGTGAAAAATACATGGACATTTGGTCACAAACAAACGCTTACCATTTTTTTTAGTTGCAACTACCATTTCCTTTAAAAATATATAATTGTACAAGAAAACATAAAAAAGAAATAATAATAACTAGCACACGAACAAGATTTGATAAAGATCTTAAAGAAAATAGATTAACATCCAAACAAAAGATAATTTTTACTAAATAAACTAACATCCAAACAAAATCGATCCAGAAAGAGAACTTGAAGAAAATGCAAACTAAACAATACCAAAGCTAAATAGAATTAGAAAAAAAAAAAAAAAAAAAAAAGCTGAACAGAAACCAAAATATATACATAAGTAGATTAGGTGTAGATATTTTAACTTGCAAGAGAATCAACAAGTTGTTCTCCCCTAAGGTCTTCTGTCGAGTAAACCGCCTTCTCCTCCTCAGACATATCTTGTTGTTCTACCCTAATGAACTTTCTTACACCAGTTGATACTTGAGTGTGGTATTTACACCTGTTCCATTGAAATAAAATAGTGAATGAGTTAAAACTTTGTGAAAATAATCAATGGAATTCAGTGAAAAATCCATACCATTTAGCTCCATTTAAAAGATAAAGATGCAGCAAGTAAACTTGAGAACGATCCACATATGGCTCTTCCATATGTACACTACAAACACATGAAAATCCATAAGTTATCAATCACGAATTCTACAAAATGAAAACTTACAAAGTTCATATCAAATCTTAAAAAACCTAGAGATTTCATAATTTCTTATCTATTTTCAGAAATTGCAATCCAAGTTGAAAACATTTAGCAATACTTACACAACGTCTATGGAATATGGATGTGTAAAACCTCGAATTTTATTTTAAACGACTAACAGAAATAATATCTAAAAATCCAGACTAGCAACATAGAGATTTGAAAGACTGTGGGAGAGCATAGATTAGCATTTCATATATAGATTAACTTCTAAAAATCCAGAATTATGTAAAAGTACCTTCCGGTGAGATCTCTGAAATGAAAGACAAACCAATCTCTCTAATAATAAGGAAGTGGCGTAGAGAACGATTTTGAGAGGTAGAGAGAGACGGTTAAATAGTTTTGACGCAGTTTTAGGGATTCTCAGTGAGTTGGGGAAATTTTGGCAAAAATTAAGCGGTTAATGAAAATTTTAGGTATTTTTAGAAAAGTTTAAGGCGCTAATGGTATAAAGAATCTTTTAAGGATCTAAAAAATCCTAAATCTTACTTTTATATACACGATCAAATAAAGATTTCTCTTAGAATATCTAAATTATTTCTTAAATTTTTAATACACACTTAAAAATATTATTTTTGGTTGGTTCTATGCATAAAACGTGTCCAGTACATGTTAATTAAGTGTTTTTTTTTTCCTAAAATTAACCAAACCACATAGTATAATGGACAAATGTTATTCCACAATGTAAAATCTACATAAAAATGAGAAATACTGCTCTGGAAACAAAGCAGAAACTTTAACCTATGGGATCTAACAATGCAATATACTGACATCATACCACTAGTAAGATAAAAAAATGTTGTTACCTAAGTCAATGACTATGTGCCTAAATAAAATCAAACATTTTTATGATGTCATGGAGAAGGCGTAGACCAAACTCTCTAGTCTCTATCAACAATAGAAGTTGCAAGAAACAATTTGTGAGAAACCATTATTGGTCTCTGCACATTCTCACCAATGAACTAAAAATATATTATGTGAAGATAAATGTGAGACACTTAGTCACCTGAGTTAGATTTATTGGATAGAAATTCATGACCATTTGCTTTCCTATCCTTATGGAACCAAGGACAACAGAGCGCACACCACAAGAGTAGAAACCGGCTTGCTGCCATGCTGACATTAACATGTACCTAAAACAATTCTGGAACTTGATTCAGAACAGAAACTCAGAAATATGTATATATCCTACAAACCAACAAATTTCAAGACCAAATAACTTTTATCTTAATTAATAGTAAATAAATATTAGTTATGATGAAGCTTCGTTGCTGAATCGAAGTTCAATACTTGCTCTCTCTTGCTTCAAAGTTCAATACTCGTGGAATCAACATATGAGAATTTCAAAAATTGAAAGAAAAAAACTGATGAAGCTTTGTTGCTGAATCGAATTGTATTTGATTATGAACATTTCTCGTTTAATAAAGAGCCATAACATTGGCTTGGATTGATCTCTCATTTACAATTTTACTATGTCATTTACTCATTTGTACTCTTTTTAAATTATTATTTATTTTTAGATTTTCCAATTTAATTTTTAGTTCACATGTTTTTTATTCTTGTCACAAAAATGGTAATAATTATGTCACAATTTATGATCAAACGCAAAAGTTACTAAAATAGTGACTAATTTTGACAAGATAGTTACAAAAAATTTGTAACTAGAAGTGACGTAAGTTTAGTCACAAAAATCGTATAATTCAGTTACCATATTTGGTCGCAAATCCGTATTCATATTTGTGACTTTATATTTTGTAACAAATTCGTCATGATTAGTGACAAAAATCAGTGACCTTCAATCCAGTCACAATACTATGACCAAATAGTAACGTTTTTATGACCAAATAAATACGTCACAGTTTTGTATGTAAATGGTCACAATCTTCTAACGAAAAAAATAGTCACAATTTTTCCGTAAGAATATTCACTTTTTTTTGTAGTTATATGTCAATGTTTTCGAGTGCCATAATGAGTAAGCAAAACTGCAATATCGTCCAAATTTTCCTATTATTTTAAACCGGCAAACTGCTATATTGTCCAAATTTTTCCTCTTTTGTATTCTTATTTTTGGAAAGTTACTTACTACAAGAACTCGCATGCATTCTAATTTCCCTACCCTGTGCTCCACTCTTAATCAATGGCGTCTTCTTCTCTATCAACCCTTTCCAGTTGCACTTCGTCTTCTCTGTATCCTAACTCTAAGCTCTCACGTTATCTTTCGGCAAACTTAACCTCCAAAACAAATGTTTCCGTTCAGTTTCTTGGAAAGAAACAGTTCCCGCTTCTCTCCTCAACCATGAGATTTCTCACTGTTGTCGCCGCCACGGCTCAATCGACACCTAGAGGCAAAACCAAAAAAGGTACAATCTTTTCCTTTAAACCTTGAATTTTCTTATCCATCCGACTCGCTTGCGTTACTGGGTTGGTTGCGTAATTCACAGTGGTTGGAATTGTAAAAATGAATGTATGGGCGGGAAAAGCAACTCCGGCGCCGCCGGTAGGTCCGGCGTTTGCTTCGAGGGGAGACGATCAAGAAAAACATATGGCTAAGCGTTTCTGTAAGGAGTACAATGCCCGAACCGCAAATAAACTCGGTGATATAATTCCTGTCGTAATCACAGTCTACGATGTTAGTGTTTTTTTTTTTTTTTTTTAAATTTTTATTTCCACCCTAATTTTTACATTATCTCTTGCAGTTTTTATATCCAATTTAAATTCTCAACTAGAAAAGAGTAATTATCATCACAAGATGGGTTTTTGTATAGAGTCATCACTTACTAGTGAATAATGGTGATTTGTTACGATTCATATATAGTTAATGTTTTGTTGTTTCATAGAGTTACTACATGTGTGGTTTCAGGATCAGAGCTTCACTTTTATCCTCAAGACCCCTCCTGCTTCGTTTTTGTTGCTTAAGGCTGCAGGTATTTCTTCTTTTGTCCAACCCTAGTTGAGTACCTTGAGTCCATGACCCAATGAATGTGTATTTAATGTAAAAATAGAAATTATCAGCTTCATGCATATAGTTTGAGTTTTGCTAGATCATTCCCCTTGTAAAACTATATGTATTAAGCGTGGAACAAAAACAATTGACAAGAAAATCATGTGTGTTTTGTGATGTAGTTTTCTCAATATATATGAATTAAATCATGTGTTCTATCTACAATATATAGTTCCTTTCACTTCTTTGGAGTTTTGTGATGTTTGACATTTATATTGACTTGTGGAAATAGGTGTTAAGAAAGGATCTAAAGATCCAAAGCAAAATAAAGTTGGGATGATAACAATAGAACAACTCCGCAAAATTGCAGAAGAAAAGCTGCCTGAGATGAATTGCACAACAATTGTATCCGCTATGAGAACCATTGCAGGAACTGCGGGTAACATGGGGATAGACATTGACCCTCCTCTTCTTGAACCTAAAAAGAAAGTAGCTTTGTTGTAATAGCATAATATGGGGTTGTTTCCGTTTGATAACATGATTATGAAATTGATATAATGTAATACAATTGTTTTTTAAGATGAGTAACTTATTTTGATTATGACATTCGTAGTTTGATTTCTCTAATTTTAGTTGCTAATTTTAAATTTACTTCTGTAACTCAGAAATCTCGATATCGAAAAATTCGAACCGAACATAGTAATACGAGAGTGACTGGTTAACTTAAACCAGATAATTAAGATTGAATTGATGTAAACCGAGAGCAAACCAGTTGTTCATTTCTCTTCTTCTTCATATAAAATCCTCTCAATTTGCGGATTTGCGTTGCTGATTTTCTTCAATTGATAGTGTGTTTGCTCCGATGACGAAGAAACGATCCAAGCTCAGGAATCGCAACTCAACTTCTGAATCAGAAAATGTTGTTTCACCTCAGACTCTGCGTCGTGATTCTTCTCCGATTGCTATCAATCGTGTTTCTTCTGGATCTAACGGTTGTATCTCTGTCGCGACCACCGGATAATTGCTCCGATTTGCTTTCGCGATGCAATTTCGCTGCTTTGGTAAGTCTGAAGTTTCCCATCTCATTTTAGATAAACAAATGGATATTTCTCTGTTCATCGAAGCTTCAGTATCTCATTTTATATACATAAATAAACAAATGTTTTTAGTGGAAATTTATTCAGTCTTTAGTCAAGTTTTGGAGTCAATGATATTTAATTCCCCGCAATGATCAAGAATTCCTTCTGATACATTTGGTTTCTTCTTTTGATCCACTTCCATGGCTTCTTCTTCTTCTTCTCGCAGTTGGACATACGATGTTTTCCCGAGTTTCAGCGGAGAAGATGTTCGTAAATCATTCCTCAGCCACCTCCTCAAGAAGCTTCATCGCAAATCAATCAATACATTCATAGACAACGACATCGAGAGAAGCCACGCCATCGCTCCTGAGCTTTTATCCGCGATCAAAAACTCGATGATCTCAATCGTTGTCTTCTCTAAGAATTATGCTTCTTCCACCTGGTGCTTGAATGAATTAGTGGAGATCCACAAGTGTTACAAGGAGTTGACTCAAATAGTGATTCCGATTTTCTACCAAGTTGATCCTTCTCATGTTAGAAAGCGAACCGGAGAGTTTGGCGACTTCTTTGAACTGACCTGCGTGGGGATAACAGAAGATGTGAAGCAACAATGGATAGAAGCTCTTGAAGAGGTAGCAAGTATAGCCGGACATGATTCTAAGAATTGGTATGTGTTTTTTTTTCTTTGCATAGACTCTAATTTTGCTTTGAGAGATGTTCATTGTTTTCATATGAGTGTGTATCTATTGACTTTTAGGCCTAACGAAGCAAACATGATTGAAGATATTGCCAACGATGTTTTAAATAAACTTATTGCAACACCGTCCAATTGTTTCGGAGACCTTGTTGGGATCGAAGCTCATTTAAAGGCAATGAATTCAATCTTGTGCTTGGAATCTGAGGAAGTAAGAATGGTAGGGATTTTGGGGCCTTCAGGGATTGGTAAGACTACCATAGCTAGAATTTTATTCAGTAAGTTCTCTAGTCAATTCGACTATCATGGTTTTGGTTCTTATAAGAGAACCAACCAGGACAACTATGGCATGAAGTTGAGTTGGGAAGAGCAGTTTCTGTCAGAAATTCTAGATCAAAAGGACATAAAGATAAGTCAATTAGGTGTGGTGAAACAAAGGCTAAAGCATAAGAAAGTTCTTATTGTTCTTGATGATGTGGATGATCTAGAGTTATTAAAGACTTTGGTGGGACGAACCGGGTGGTTTGGACCTGGAAGCAGAATTATCGTGACCACTCAAGATAGGATCCTTCTCAAGTCTCACAAGATTGATCATATTTATGAGGTGAAGTTCCCATCGAGAAAAACGGCTCTTCGGATTTTATGTCGATCTGCTTTCGACAGAAACTCCCCACCTGATGGTTTCATGCAGCTTGCAAATGAAGTTGCAGAGCTTGTCGGTAATCTTCCTTTGGCTCTCAATATCATGGGTTCGTCTTTGAAAGGGAGGGACAAGGAAGAGTGGATAGAGATGATGCCTAGTCTCCGAAATAGTTTGGATGGAGAAATTCTGAACACATTAAGAGTCAGCTATGATCGATTAGATGGAAGTTATCAAGAAATATTCCTTTACATTGCGTGTTTACTAAATTGTTGTGGAGTTGACTACATTATAAGCGTGCTTGGAGATAATTCTAACATCGGGTTGAAAATACTGGCTGAGAAGTCCCTCATACATATATCACCACTGGGCAAAACTGTAGAGATGCACAGTTTGCTACAAAAGTTGGGTAAAAAGATTGTTCGTGATGAATCCATTGGCAATCCTGGGAAACGCCGGTTCTTGGTGGATGCTGAGGATATTTGTGATGTATTTACCGATAATACCGTAAGCTCTTACATAAACTTTTCATTACTGACTCTATAGACATCTAAGCAAGTCACTATAAATTGTTGTGACTGTGAAGATAATGATTTTATATAGTGGGGATTATATTTCAGGGCACAGAAACTGTATTAGGCATATCACTTAACACATTGGAAATCAACGGGACATTGTCTATAGATGATAAATCATTCCAAGGTATGCATAATCTCCGATTTCTAAAAATTTTCAAGGATTGGCGGCGGGGGAGTGGTGAAGGGACATTGTCTTTACCTCAAGGCCTCGTTTCTTTGCCCCGAAAACTCAGACTACTATATTGGGATAAATTCCCGTTGAAGTGTATGCCTTCTAACTTCAAGGCCGAGTATCTGGTTAACCTAGAATTGGCGTATAGCCAGCTTGAGAGGTTTTGGGAAGGAACTCAGGTAATATTTATAAGTATGATTTTCTTCATTACTTAATTAGTTGTCCATTTTAGAAGAAAATCTTGCTCTTTTTTCTTCACTTTGATTGATAAATATCGAGTAAACAAAATGATTTTACTTATTGAATATGTGCATTGTTTTTTTCATGTTCTGTTTTCAGCAACTTGGAAGTCTCAAGAAGATGAATCTGTCCGAGTCCGAAAATTTGAAAGAAATTCCAGATCTTTCTTACGCCATAAATCTAGAGGAAATGAATCTTCGCAGTTGCAAATCTTTGGTGACACTTCCTTCCTCAATTCGAAATCTCAATAAACTTAGGGTGTTAAGGATGAGTAGCTGCTCAAATCTTGAGTTTCTTCCAGCTGATGTCAACTTGGAATCTCTTGATACCCTTGATCTTGAACGTTGCTCACAGTTGAGAAGTTTCCCTCAGATTTCAAGGAACATTTCATTTCTTAATCTAAGTAGAACTGCAATAGACGAAGAAAGTTCTTTATGGATAGAGAATATGTCTAGGCTCACTCATCTCCGCTGGGATTTTTGTCCATTGAAAAGTCTGCCTTCTAACTTTCGTCCAGAATATCTCCGTTCTTTACATATGAACTATAGCAAGCTTGAGAAGTTATGGGAAGGAGCCCAGGTACTTATTCCACAATAAATCTTGGTCTTCCTTGGTCTTGCTTTTAGCTTTTGTGACTTGGCTTGCATACATGCATCTCTGTGAAGAAGTTTAACCTCATGCTATAAGTATAACTGTATAATTTGATTTGTTAATCTATTGTTTAATCCAAACAGCTCTTTTTGGTAATAAGTCACCATTTAGATAATTACGGCTGGCTCATTGGACTCATGGGTGTCAATTTCTCTTGTTTATTTTTTTTGTATTTCAGCCTTTTGGAAATCTCGAGAATATTGATCTTTCGCTATCTAAAAAGCTGAAAGAATTTCCAAATCTTTCAAAGGCCACCAATCTCGATACGTTGGATCTATGTGGTTGCAAAAGTTTGGTGACAGTTCCTTCCTCAATTCAGAGTCTCAGTAAGCTGACGGAGTTGAACATGGAAAGATGCACAGGTCTTGAGGCTCTTCCTACTGACGTGAATTTGGAATCTCTTCATACTCTCAATCTCCGTGGGTGCTCCAAGTTGAGAACTTTTCCTCAGATGTCAAGGAACATTGAATGTCTCCTTCTCGATGACACTGCAATTGAAGAAGTTCCTTCATGGATAGGTGATTTCTCTGAGCTCACTAGACTCAGTATGATGGGTTGCAAAAGGTTAAGAAACATCTCTACAAGCATTTGTGAATTGAAATGTCTTAAGGTGGTAAACTTCTCCGACTGTGAAAGACTCACAGAATTTGATGATGCAAGTATGGTGAGAAGAATATTACGCACCATTGATGATCTGATAGCACTGCACATGGATGCTTCATTTCTTCATGCAATATTTCTACTGTGCAGAAAAGTCGTATCAATATGTGCAACGGTTTTTAAATATCCCCAAGCTCTCTCTTACTTCTTCAACAGTCCAGAGGCTGATCTCATTTTCAATAACTGCTCCAGTTTGGATCGAGATGCGGAGACACTCATCCTAGAATCAGATCACAGGTATGCGGTCTTACCAGGTGGAAAAGTGCCTAACTGTTTCAAGAATCAAGCTTGTGGAAGTTCCTTATCTATTCCTTTACCTGAGAGCTATTATTCTGAAGAATATCTTGGCTTTAAGGCTTGCATCTTGCTTGAAACTCCGCCTGACCCGAATTTTAAACAATCGTGGATTTGGGTGCGCTGCTATTTCAGAGACAAATGTGTCGTGCATAGTTTCCAGTTTTTCCGGGACTCCAATAAGATGGATCACCTGCTGATGTTCAACTTTCGGTTCGCTACAAAAAAAATAATTGAATGTACATCTGAGTTGGACACCGATGACATGAAATTTTTCTTTTACCACCATATGTATTATGGTTGGAATTCCTACACAAATCCTTCTCCATCTTCAGTCCAAAGTATAAAAGGATGTGGTATAGAATTTTGGGATGTCTTTCCCAGAGTTCTAAATCAACAAGAGCTTGATATCTACTTGTCCGTACCGGGTAACTTCTAACATTTTACAATAATTTTATCCTAATTCATGATTAACTTGGGACTAGAACAAGATTAAGATTTGACCAAGACTAAAGTGATCATGACTATCAATTTCATAGTTTTTATGCCAACCAGTTTTTTTTTTCTTTTCTTGCAGTTAAAAAAGAAAGGTGAAAATGAAGATGTATATTTGGAGAACGTTTCTGATTGAAGATGACTCGAGCTTGTCGTCGTTTCAAGGTAATGAGAACATCTTACAGCTCTAGTTTTCTTCTGATTTAGGATCAACTTGGGATTAGACCATGAATATTGACAACTTTACTGTCTAACGATGATGATTTCATGGTTTTCACAGGTGAAGGAGAATATTTGGTGAATCTTCCAACTGAGTCTTCTCTAAATACAAACACTTTAGTCCCGTGAATCTTTGAGTTTGACGGTGAACTTTGAGGCTAAGTATCAGTGCTTGGAATGGGCTCAGGCAAGATTTCTTCTACTGGATTCAAGAAACCATCATCTTTTGGATTTAATAGCTTAGTTTCTCTTTTTTTTGTCTAATAATGAACCACACTTAAGAGTTATTGATTAAGATGAGTTACATTCTCGGATGAAACATGTTGCCATAGATTACCATTTCATACAGGATCAAGTTCAAAACAGCAAGTTACGTGTAGCCCATGTC